ACAGATTCGGTCTGGCAGAGAGAAATGTGAGGCTCTGATTGTAGAAATACACTGCAGTCAATATCTCCCATTTATTATGCGTTTCCGAGCGACGTTTCCCAACACGTGTTCATGCATTTTGCATGTTGTAGCTGTTATGTTTTGAATCCTATGCAAAGTTTACAACTTTAAACTGAACTACATACTTCGAGAGAGGATTTTGAATGTTGTGGTTGAGTGATTGCTATCTTTGCCTGAAGGTTAAAGGCTTCATCGCTTTCCTCAGCATATCCAGGAAAACTCTGGGGTAGGGCTTAGAATAGGCTGAGGCCTCTTCTTCCTTACATTTTTATAGTCTTCCTTTTTTCGTTTATAATGCAAAAAATTAATGACGTTAATTCACATTTAATTCAGACAATTATCGTTAAATGTATAAAATGTTATTAAAATTATTAAAATATATGCATATGTTGTTCTGCTCCTACGTGTTTCTGCCTTACAAGGCAATTTTCAGGCAAAAACTTACTTAAGGATTCCAATTGACTGTGGGCTAATCATACAGAATTCTACAGTTGATCTTCCCTCATATTTTTTTTAATTGCGGCTGTATCTCTGCAGTGTATAACACATGTTATTAATATAATTTGTTCTTAATATTTGGTTATCCCCCTCGTTGGTGTCTCCACCTTTTCGTGGTGAGGGGGTTTGAGTATGCCAAGGACCCTGAGAGCTATACCAGCGGTAGCGTAGCTACTGGCAGGGCCTCCCTTGCTGGACACACCAAAAAACCAAAAACCAAAAACTGATGCCGGAAGCAGCGTCATCAGCAGCGACTTGAAGCACAGAGCAAATGATGCTCGAGATGGTTCAAGTTCGTATAGCAACAGGCGTGACCAGAGTAGTTTGAACGGCTGCTGAACTGAGATGTGGAAGGTAAATGGAAAAACTACCACATTATCACTTTTCCTGGATAGTCTCTTTCCGAAAACAGAGACACTATGTATGCGAACCAGAAGACGAGGAAGAAGACGTAAGAAGGTGCTGGATGACCTTGGGGACAGAAGACGATATTCTTATTTGAAGGAGAAAGCTCTAGATCGCATTAAATGGAGGAACTGTTTTGGAAGAGACTGTGGACCTGTCGTCTGACAGATTACTGATGAATGAATGAATGAATGAATGAATTTGGTTATACTATCTTTGTGTTATCTAGACGTTGTATTATATGTATACTTCCATATCATATTAGATGTGCTGTGTTTCGTTGTGCATATCAAAAGTTGCCCTACATTTGCACAGCACCTTGCTCTCTCATTCGAAGAATCATGACTGATAACTTGAGTCATCCAAGTGACTGATTACCATATCGAAGAATATTTTCGAATGGCCGATTTCGCGTAATGACGTAGCATTATCAACACTGGCTCTATTTTAAGAGTTATGTGTAATTTAAGAAGAAATGTCAACACGTAGAAAAAAAACGGTCGATATTCGACGTCATATAATAGGGGGGCGGCACCAATATGGGCCTCATTTCCTTCTTCAACCGTAACATGATTTCCCACTGTTTAACCCTTTAAGGATCATCCCCATCAAAAAAAAAAAAATTTAAATATGCTCCTACCTCCATGAAAACTTAGCTTCACCAACACGCAGATCATTCTGTTAAGGAAAAGAATCAGCGTTTTTTAATGAATCACGTGAACTCAATATAGAAACGAAACCGGCTAGAAGGTAGGGTTGTTTAACATTGAACGAAGTGCTAAGCCCTGTAAATGGCTGAAGTCCACTGTACAATATGCTGTAGAGATACAGTCACACGTAACTATGAAGCTATTATGTTCGTTGTTTCGGAGATCTGTCTTCAGGAACGCGATTCCAGCAAGCCGCTTTCGCCCTCCTCGTTTCGCAGTAACAATAGGCCGCAGCTGTCTGGAGATGAACTCACGTTATCGGAGAATGTCAATCATGCAGCACGTCCGCCTTGCTGCGCATGTACAGGGCACTAGTTCGCAACGCTTGGAGGCTTTCACGTCGAGGGTCTGAACCATTCATGTGTCTGTTTAGACTGAATTATGTGTAGCTCCATGACCCTGTATATATTATAATATTTATTTTACAATTATATTTTGTCCGGTTACGTTATGACAGTGACGTAGGGATTCTGTTCGAACGAGGCAATCGATTTAGAATTTGCGTGCCGAGGTCCAGCTACTTAAGGTTCGGCCACACAGAGCGCTACGCTATGTTCGCTACGTACGCTACATACGCTATGTACGTTACGTACGCTGTGTACACTCTGCGACGCAGCTAACATAGGGAACATAGCGTACGTAGCGCTCTGTGTGGCCGAACCTTTACACTGTGCTGTGTTAAAATCACAGATTGACGTGAGAACGGTAACAATTTCATTTTCGAAAGTACTAAAACCTTTTCAGCCGGTCACGGTATTTCTTCTCTCAGTGTTGGTTTGTATCCTGACAGTTCTCTGGTGCAAGGCTTCACACGTGCAGTTTTACATCTTACTTATTGTACTATTTAACGACACTACATCAAATACACCGACCAGATCTCTTTCTAGGAGGTATAACCTCTGTAGGTGAAACGCTGTTCATTCATTCATTCATTCATTCATTCATTCATTCATCAGTAATCTGTCAAGACGAGAGGTCCACAGTCTCTTCCAAAACAGTTCCTCCACTTGATGCGATCTAGAGCTTTCTCCTTCAAATCAGAATATCCTCTTCTGTCCCCAAGGTCATCCAGCATCTTCTTACGTCTTCTTCCTCGTCTTCTTGTCACTTCTGCCCGCCCCCTTATCTTTCCTTCAATAACTTCTTTCAGAAGGCAGTTACCGAGTAAGATATGACCAATNATTTCACTAGTTTCTTTCTCAAACACTGTTAAATAACTAAAAATTATATCTTCCTTCCAGAAGTGTCTCCTCCAAATTCAAATTTTTTGCTACACAAAGAAGTAATTTTTCTTTCAATTTCGCTTAGCGGGGGGATGGAGTGCAGTTGGGTCCACTCGGCACGGCGGCCACTGATTGGCCTCTTGTACCTGTCCCGGGTGATTATGATGATGGAGAATTTGGTGGAATGATGATTGGCAGGGGAAACCGAAGTACTCGGAGAAAACCTACCCCAGCGCCACTTTATGAACCACAAATCCCACTTGATCAGACCCGGGATCGAACCCGGGCCGCCGCGGTGAGAAGCCAGAGATTAACCGCTTGAGCTATGGCGCGTTCTTGAGAGATTTAAGTACGTTGCAATTATAAACAAAAACACTGGATTGTGGTTAATTTTATTTGTTCAGCACCTGGGATTCGGTGCGGTAGCGTGACAGATAATGGTGTGGGAAGGCTGTGGGAAGTAGAAAACCTGAGCTAGCGTGTGAAACTCTGCAGGATCTGAGTTAGAACAGCAGCGCCAACCCCTCATCTGCGGCCGCCGGTCTCTGTAGCTCCACCCCATAGCCAGTTCGTATCATCACGGAGTTTTTGCAGCTCCCTGGTCTCTGTGCTTCGGTCGATTCCTTTTTCATTGAAGAAAACTCATATTTGAGCTTCTACCAGTGGACACTCTTTGCACGTGTTACCAAAAACTATTTAATATTTCCCCATACTTATTTACTTACTCATGGAGCTGAGCCCTTCTTCAGGAGCCGCCAATTCACAGCTACTCAAGAATTTCCCAGCATTTTATAGAACCCGAAGGTTCATCACCGTGTTCACAAGAGCCCTCCACTGGTCCCTATCCTGAGCCAGATCAATTCAATCCATACCATCCCATCCTATTTAATATTTCCCCATACCACGGCAATTTATTTAAATGGGCCTTTATTTATTAATATTCGTGTAAAATTTTATCTTAAATTTTTCATTTAAAGCACATGAGGAAAATGAATGTATAGTTCTTATACCTGTAAGTTATCTTAACACTTTGTTACGTCACAATTCTATTTCCTAATACATAAGTTTATCTACATTTTCATTGCCTCTAAATTGAGAACACGATCAGGAAAGGGCTGATCTCATTAAATTTCATGCAAGTAAACTGTTGATAAACTGATTTTTTATATTTTTCGTGTGGTTTTTATGACTTCAGTTCGTGTACTTATTTGTCACACTGTCTATACCAGATCCTAACCAATTCACCGCTCTTCATCATAATCCCATCCAATTCGACGCTATATGAAGCCTACCCTCTGTACTGTCCAACTCAAATTTGTTATCCAGGGACTAGATACCTGTCTCTTCTTCGTGGATTCCATACTCCCTCCAGCAAATTCTAGGATAATGCCTCAAATCAGGACATAACGGCTTCCTTTAGCGTCCTTTCCAATTCATTATTCACTAATCATCCTCTTCTTCAACGCAATGAAGCATAAGGCAGTGACAGCGTCATTATGTTAACCATGAAAATAAAATAGATATTTTCAACTCATTGATTTTAATTAGATCTGCATGTTCCAGTGAGCCCTGAAATTGGACGGGCTCAAGTCTCTCCACCGATCACTCTGAAGATATTTTTGCTCCAGGAGAGAAAACAAATTAAAATATATAGACAGAGCAATTTCAGGTCTAAAATAACCAATCAGATGACGTAACGCAGTAGAGTAAACAAAAAGAATCCGGACAACCGATTACATCAACAAATACAAAGTTGACCGCATGTGCAAACGAGATTTATTGAATTGTGAGTGCTCTGTACTCAGATCGCCCATTCACTCGACAAGCTGCACACAGTGTCAGCTACTGAACACGGTGTAGGCCCGTAATAATTTGAGTCCAGTTCGAAAATTAAACAAGAATTGATTTACTTACAAAAAAGCATAATTTTTAAACCTGTTTCTCAATGTTATATCTGTTTAAGAAGCGACATTTGAGAGGCGGAGATTGGTAAATTTGTAAAAAGCGTCAATCTACTTCACAGAATGAAATAAATTTAATATAATATTTCTATATTTCAAATCTTCTATAGCTATATGGTGTCTTGATCAATTTAGTGGCGCTCTATCAACTACAATGATATATGGGGCAGACTGAGGGGATAACTGTGAATGAAGCTGAAGGAGTTGTTGCCGAATTTAAAGTAATACCCTATAGAAACTGAGGAAGATCACGGAAAAATCTATCAAAATAGGCCATCTCTGAGCAAGGATAAGAGACTGAGCATCAACAGGACAGGAATCAGTAATGGTTCATTCTGAAGTAAAGCTCGTCTTTGGTACTCACAATTTCATTATCTTCTAGCACTTGATATACTGCTTTAAATACATTCGGCGAATTACGCCTTTCTGAAATATTTCACATTTCCTTTGATTTCCTTAGACTTCGTAGACAAAAATAAATATTATCATGATGTGGACATACAGATCAGTCACAGGCTATCAAAATAAGTTCACGTGGACAGTGACTATAACGTGTATCAACGAACCTCCAGTGCACCTGTAACAAAGTTATTTTTAAGTATAGTTTCATTTATTTGAAAACGAATAAAATTGCAGTTCAGGGAAATTCACTTCATAAAACTGTAAGTAAGAAACCAGACATGGGGTTCTGACTTCTAAAAGCTCTATTTTCGTTCAACACAGAAAGAGAACAAAAACGCGGAATTTTATTGAGAAGGATCAAATAAGAAGTTAATGAATTTTGAAGTGAATAAATTAAATTTCAGTGAAATGTTGAGTTGAGTGATTATTTTACCTAGAATGGCGGCCTATGTAGGAAAGTTAAGGTTAATTTCCCATGAATATTCAGGAAGCCTAATATATATAAGGTCACGATTTTCAGATTATTTCTTTTGGTCGTTCGGAAACGTCACTAACCACCTACGAGAACCCATGTCACAACTCAGGCAGTTAGTCGCTATTCTCTCACTGCAGAGACCCCGGATCGATCCCAGGTCAAATTATGAAAGATTTATAGTGGACAAAGGAGCATTGGGATAAGATGTTTACGAGTGCCTTCATACCCCTGTCATCTCTTATTCTATCGATATTTCCAGACACATCCACGACCGGGCACCGGCACAACAGCCCCAGTAGAGGCCGGGGTAAAAGTGGACTAAGTCTCATCCCACCTGGCGAAAGGAAGAGTGTAAGACTGTATTGCGTCACAGTCAAGAGAACAACAATCTAAGTGATTTTATTTTATTCGATGTTATATAAATGTTTGTAATTTAAAGAGCTTCGGAAAGCCAAGAATAAATGAACTTCGATTATATACGTGAAGTAGGAAGCACATAAAACAGTAGTTGAACTGGTTTCAAAAATAAAAAGCAACAAATAACGAAGCGAGGACGTATTATACTCATGGAACAACTGCTCAAAGAGAATGAATTCACCACAGAGGATCTAATCAAGCCACGGTTAGCAAACACCAAAGAGAGCGTATGTTAATATTTGCGAAGACTGGAACAAAGCTGAGTTTGCTGCACACACTAACCGTGGAGAATTGGTCCACAACACCATGGTCACTCAGCCGACGTCATAAACTAACATTGCACTTAACAAACAAACAAACACTCTAAATACTCATGTAAGATCACAAGGCAGCACAAAAATACTTTCCAGTAAAATTCCTTTGGATAATGTTTCTGCAGATACATTGGCTGTAACAAGGAGCAACAGGGTCATTCAGTCAGATGTCAATAGAGGAAATAAAACGGTTTCCGAGATCCAGACATTATTTATTTTGTAAGATTTAAGGTTTTCACGGCGGTGACTATGAAGAAAGCAGTCTTCCGGGATGTGGCACCGTGTAGATGTGGTGTTAACCGACGTTTCGGAGGAACGTATCGCCTCCATCTTCAGGGTAGAAGAATTAGTCTGCTTGCACCTGCTCTCACTGTTTCTTCGCTTGTGGATTTTATTTTTTCCTTCTACCCTACAAATATAGAAGAGCGGTATCTTCTGTGGTCAGTGTCGCGCTCGTTTCTATACAACGGTGTGGAAAACACATCTGTGCAGCATTGAATCAACAGGCAACAATAGAGGAAGCTGCGTTTTCTGTGGGGACTGCCCCAATACTACACAACGTGGATCAGCTAGAATTAGAATTGAGTCTCCGAAGTTGGCATTTAGCGGAATAATGGCAAGAAAGAAATCAGGCTGTACGAAGAAGACTTCATAGTGTGTATTTACGGTGAGACCGTTATAAATCCGTTGCCAGGACATGATTAATGAAGGCTGAGGAGACTTAGGATGTCCTAGTGATTTGTAAAGTGTGTAGATCAGCGATAGCACTGTATTACTTGTAGTTACGAGCTGAGTGTGTAAGGTGTCAATTAATTAAATTATCCAATACAAAACCAGTATATAAGTCACGCCCCCCCCCATACGTGATAATATAAAGTTAAAATTATATGTATATCGGAGAAATTTGTGAAGGCTTTAATTATAAGTGAATTGTTAGTTTCACTCTCCAGCCGCCTTAATCTGGCCAAAGAACTCTGTTACTTATTGGATAGCAAGTTGGATGCAACCCAGAAGTTGGACGCGGAGAAAATAAAAATCCTTCCCCTGCCGAAGTTAGAGTCTCGTCTAGGACAAAACCAATTACTGTAATGCCTGAAATCATTATTGATGCTCATTAATGTTAACATTAACTGTAAACACTTCTGAGTTTCTGCCACATTACATTTTGCCGAACAGCTTTACTTTGAAACACCCTGTGGTGTTGACGCACTAAAGGCGTCTTGTTTAGAGTGCGAAAGGCAGCCATGTCATCTCGTTTTGAGAGGCGTGACTACAGGTAAGAGCCCGTCGCAATGCGGACCCGGAAACGCTCGTTGTACTTGTGAATAATTGAAGATCCGCATGGACGCTAGACCAGACGAACGGGCTGAACCAACGCAGATGTTCCCGTGATCGGAATCCAGGCCTCTCGCATACAGAGCCTACACGGACAGCCAACTGGGGCCTCAGTAATGCATAAATGCCAAAGGTAGTCTTCAGTGGGCCTCTTGTTTTTCGTCAAATTCGAATTGAAAATTATAATTGACAGGAGTTTACAGCATCTCTAATTGTTATGTCTCTTTCTTTGTTTACTTTCTTGTCTTCTTTTATTCTTACTTCTTCCCCGGTCTTTTCTTATTTCTCTCTTTTGCTTTCATTGCTGTTCATTACAGTTTTTTTTTATTTCTCTGCATTCATTTGCTTCCATTGTTCTATTTAGCAAGTTACTTATGGCGTCGCCATAGCTCAAGCGGTTAGTCGCTGGCTCCGCACCTCGGCGGCCCGGGTTCGATCCCGGGTCTGGTCAAGTGGGATTTGTGGTGGACAAAGTGGCGCTGGGGCAGGTTTTCTCCGAGTACTTCGGTTTCCCCTGCCAATCTTCATTCCACCAATTGCTCCACAATCACCCTCACCTATCATCTGGGGCTGGTACAATAGGCCAGAAGTGGCCGCAGTACAAGGGCTTAGTCCCACCCCACTAGCAATAAAAAAAGTATATATGAAGTTACTTATCAGCCTATTCATATATAGTAAAACATTCTACATATATCTACCAACGTACCTACCTACCCGTCGTTTCTCGAGAACTCAAGGGGAAGGGATGAGTGGTGACGCAAACTAAGTGAAAGGGCAACTACGCAAATAGTTTCAGAATGGGGAACTACATAGAAATGTATATTTTCCATTATCATTTATGTTAAAGTGTCATGCCCCTGCAAGTAGTTAATGGACTCCAGTCCAACATCAAGATGCATATGGGAGCATTTATACAAACTCCCCTTCCGATCGCGTCAAAAATGGCTTGTTCACCGACGTTTAATGAATCATGTGACCTTGCATTTTTCACACGAATTCCTGTCGACTAGACGTGAGCGCATGTGTGACTTGTGCAAAACAACCTTCCCTCTGTAGTACGGTGTTCCACTGAACAGTACTGTAGAGAGAATAGGTTGATCGCTTCATAACATATTTAAAGACATTGCATGCACTGAACAGGAACTGCTGTCCAAAAACGTAAAAATTAGAATATAAAAAACAATAATTTTGCCTGTAGTTCTGTATGGGTGTGAAACTTGGGTCTCTGACATTAATAGAGGAACATAGACTGAGAGTGTTTGAGAACAGGAGAATATTTGGACCGAAGAGAAATGAAGTAACAGGAAGTTGAAGAAAACTGCATAATCAGGAGCTTCATAACATGTACTCTTCTTCAAGTATAATTAGAATAATCAAGGAGGATGAGATGGGCATGGCATGTAGCACAAATGTGGAATAGATTAATGCATATACGAGACTGATAAGAAAGCCACATGGAAAGGGACCATTGGGAAGACAAAGGCGTGGGTGGGAGGAAAATATTAAAATGGATCTTAGAGAGATAGTATGGATTGGATAGATCTGGTTCAGGATAGGGACCAGTGGAGGGCTCTTGTGAACACAGTAATGAACATTTTGGTTCAATAAAATGCTGGGAAGTTCTTGAGTAACTGCACAAGTGGCGGTTTCTCAAGAAGGGCTCAGCTCCATGAGTAAGCGCAATGGTAGCAGACTGAAGGTTTCACTTTCACCGCCATACTTGTTCCTGTTTCGATAAGAGCGACAGCGGTGGCAGTGTTGGGAGTGTGGCACGACAAGCCCACCGTTTCAGACGGAGCTTCTACCGTCTGCTTTATTAAGCTATAAATCAAATGTTTATTGCAGCGTTATTTTTTTGTCCTGGCTTATGGTGAGTAAAGCGAGAGAACTGCTCATACACAAACTGAAAGAGTAGAGAGAAATTCGTGCACCCAACCATCCAAAGAATATTGACAAAACCACAACACTAGCACAGCATTTCGGCTATTAAAGAATGCAGTGTACGTATATGCACTGGATTCTACCTCGATACGTTTGCAAAAGCGGTAAAAGAACGCAACGCTTTTTTTAATTTCTGCTTTCCGCAACTATGCATCTGTTTAAAGTCGAGTAATTTTGTGTTCAGTGGTTTAACCTGAATATGAGGGACGTGAGTAGATCTGTAATAAAATTTTCTCTTCGTGGTCTGACTTCGTATGTACAGTGTAACGAATTACCTTGCTTATAATTTTACTACAACATTAAATTAGATGCTCTGATTGTTATTCAGGACGAGCTGAGTAGGATATTAAAATATTCTTCTTCTTCTTATGCTGGCAATGCCGATTCATTTCGGTAATTTTTAAGGGAACAAAGAAAAGAGATTAAAGGGTGAAAGTTTGGCCGCGCCATAGCTCAAGCGGTAAGTCGCTGGCTTCCCACCATGGCGGCCCGGTTTCGATCAAGGATCTGGTGAAGTGGGATTTGTGGTGAACGAAGTGGCTGAGGACCTGAAGTGCTATTCGGATTCCAAATTACGAAATAAAAATAATCAGATAAATGGAACAAATATTAACCTATTATGTGGAAACTTATGCTATGTATAAGGAACCAGGATTTAAAGTTCTTGCAGTGACATGATTTAATAAATTCCTAGCGGGCCCTGTTAGATTACTGAGTTTGAGTCTCAGTCGGTCAGTCTGTCTTGGCATAAAGTACCCATCTGGGGCTTACGATCAGATATTTATTACTGCTTGACTGTTACGCTCTTGAGTTTTATGGGCGCCCTATCTGACGAGAGGACGGGTCTGTCTTTTGTATGTGCTCCTGGTTCTTGCCAGCGCAGTCTTTCTCTGGTCTGAGTCCCTTGGTACTCGAGACCATATATTACTGCCTCAAATTTGAGACTTCCCTTTTCGTCGCCTCCTACGACTCGCAGGGTCACGGTGGAGGTATTCGAGCCCACCTCCACATGGGCCTGTTAGGTTACTGGTATAAGATGATAAAGAGATGGAGACTTTCCCAGAAAGCTGAAGACGGAAAAGACGACCGTTTCCAGATATCGATTTTCATGCCAACAAACTGATTTGAAGCCTTCAATACATAAACAATACTGTACTAATTTTTCTTTTAAAATTGTTCAGAAAAGTAACCAGATCTACAGACTTCTGCAATACATATTCTGCACAAGGACATAGACATCTGTCTACTTACACGTGGTGTGTGGCAACGCTAACGAGGGCGGTCCAGGCCCGATGCAGTGACTTCCCGAGGACTGTAGCCTGAAAATGTCAAATTGAGGCACTTGTAACACAACAGATGAACAAGAAGTTCTGAGATGCAATTATGATGGCTACGTTGTTTAAAATAATTCAGTGAATATGCTGAGGAAAGCAAGAAATGTAGCCAAAACAGTTTTAATGAGACTTTTCGGCGGATTCTACTTTTAAGCTTCTTCCCGCGGGATTCTTTGTAAATATTACAGCAAAAGCGGTGGTTATATGGTAATAAATTTGTTGGCAGAATTTTAAATGGTTTGTTAGTTATCGCAGTCGAACTGAAAATTAAATTTATTTCACGTAGTAATTTATTTCAAAATCAGAGTTAGGGTTGGCCTAACCAGACTGAAGTTTTTCGTTCCTTCCACAAGTTCCTTCCAGTATATGCCAATATGACACAATCAGCTGGTTCAACGTTCCTTCTCAACTCCTTTCGACGTGTCACTTACTACCGCTCGTCCGTCCATGGATCGACCTAACTACTGCAGTTCAGACGTCAGTGTTGCATATCGTAGAAATGTAAGGAAACTGGGATGAATATTGGGTGATTACAAATTATAACTGTATTTCTGTTGTGAACTACCGAAGAATTGGACCTCAGAGGGGAATCCCAAATTAGCTAGGTACAGAGAGCTCCAACAACCCGCAGGAATGACAGAGTTTTGTCTGCCGAACGTGAAATTATCTCAAAATTTTGCTTTCTAACATTTTATTAAGCCGAACATAATGAGGGAGCCATCTAAGGCACGCACTGTCTTCCTTCTTCCGATCGCTGGGATCGTGGGTTAGAATCCCACTCAAGGCATGGATGACTGTTCGCGTTTATTCTGTGTTTGTGTTGTCTAGTGTGTAGGTGGTGGCCTTATGACGTGCTGATCACTCGTCCAAGGGGCCCTACTGACTGTGTAAAAAAAGATTACGGAACTGAAGAAGAGGCCAGGGCCTAACAAAGGGCTGTAGGGCCATTGAAGAATGAATGAAACAATTTGTAATATAATTCCTTTCCTAACGGTTTTCTTTCATTAATATCTCATTCTTCTGCCCAAAAATGGCCAGTAACATATTGCTCACAAACACGCGGGCTCCGATTGAGCCTCTGACGTAGATAGAAACAGAAAAGCTCCACAGAATTGTCAGGCTAATCAACTCTACAGAGCAGAGTCATCCTTGAGTACCTGGCAGTCGCTCAGCTGCTCAAGAAATACCCTAAGATTCATTATCGTGTTCAAAACAAGCCGTCACTGCACAATAGATCTATCCTGATCCAGGTGAACATAACCCATATTATTTAAGCACAATTTTAATAATATCTCCTCCTCTGTCCTTAGATCTCCAGTTCCTGTGTAATGGGCTCTGAAAATGCAGAAAGAAAAATCACCACCACCTCGATAATGCATTGTCTCTAACAGTGCTACACGAATTTAAGGTAAGGAAAACAATATCAACAATCATCTTGTAAATCTGCAATGGCCTACCATGTAGGCATGCCCTCTAGCGTCACAATAGTTGCAGTTGACTGTTGTGTTTATAAACCGACATGATTCACTTTGGGGAAACAAGGAAATTACAATCCTAAACCCAACGTAATTGGCAGTTTCAGAACTGCTGGATGCCTTGGGTATTTCAGTGAGCTGGCAGGGTGACTCTCTTTGTTTACTGATGGTCACGCTATCTCCCGATAGCTGCAGGACAGTCGGCTAGCAAATGCCATTCGAAATGATTGAATCGTGTTTCACTCCCATTTCTGGAACTGATGTCCTATTGGCACGCACTTCACTATGAGTCACATGGACAGTCCTCAGGGCCGTGAAAACTCTTCATCAACTACAAGAAGCGTCTCCGAAAGCTGCTCCGAGATATATAAAAATAAGAAAACAAGCAGAACATTGCAAGCGAACTTACTGTATGTTTTGATAAAAAAAAAANTGATCCGCATGTGTTAATTAGTGGGACAGTTTAACCCGTAAAAGCCTTTCTTTCGCTTAGTAAGGGGTGGAGTCCTACTGGGTCCAGTCGGCACGGCGGCTACTGATTGGCCTATTGTACCTGCCACGGGTGATTATGATGATGGAGAATTTTGTGGAATAAAAATTGGCAGGGGAAACGGAAGTACGCGGAGAAAGCCCGCCCCAGCGCCACTTTGTCCACCACAAATCCCACTTGACCAGACCCGGGATCGCACCCGGGCCGCCGCGGTGGGAAGCCAGCGACTAACCGCTTGAGCTATGGCGCAGCATTTTTTCACATAAGATACTGGACCTGTTTATTTCACTTAGACAGCAGTATGCAACTTGTGACTGAAAATGTAAAGTTAAAGACTGTCATTCATATATTTTTTTTCCCCTTGGCACTACAGCCCCAGTGGGCCTAGGCCTACCTCCATGAACTTCTCCGTTCACGTCGGTTTTTCTAGATCTTACACATTCGGTAGGACTCCTTGGGTGGGTGATCAGCTCGTCGCAAGGCCTCTACGTGTATATAAACACAGAAAAACGCAAACACAAACTTAAAATCCATGTCCTGAGTGGGATTCGAACCCACGATCCCGGTTTCCAAGCGAGCGAAGACAGTACATGCCTTAGACCGCTCGGCTACTGTGACCGGCGTCATTCATATTTAGGTTGTATAATTTCAGAAATAATTTATGTTAGATAGAACTTCGGTGCACCGATTTTGGACTGTGACATCCACGTAGCCCGTGGAGCCGACTTTTCCTATCCTTGACGCATATTGCGAAACGAGAAGGCTCCTCCAACAAAACTGTGGTCCCCAACAGGTTCAGAGATTGACAGCCTGTAGTGAGGGTATCAGCTTCACCGTACTTAGAAATCAGGCATATGAAAACCCATCAAAGCCACGTCCCTTGACGTCGTCTATGAAGTGTGCTGTGTGGGCTTTAATGTGATAAATTTACCTCCATTTTAAAATGTATATCTTCCATCTGCAATAAAAGAGTCTTATATGGTAAAGTTTTTCCTGAACTTAACTATTTAAGCACTACGCCATAAAGGCGTATAGGGGAGTGGATGTATAGATCCACGTTTTCTTGACCTCGGAAGTAGTTGGAGGTGAGTAGTCAGTTTCACTACCCGGTCGCTTTATCCCCAGGGAAAGATCCCCGGTACCCACTGAATAGGAGGTTGGGTGGACCCCAGGGCCAGTCTGGACGAGATGGAAAAGTGAAAATCCTTGACCCTACCAGAATTCGAACTCTGACCCCTCAGTCGCCCAGCCCGTAGCCAGTCGCAATGGCGACTGCGGTATCCCGGAGTCTTATATGCAATAATAAAAATATATTTAAACTTGTTAAAGTAAAATAATATCACTTCATTGAACTTGTGTATTATTTTCACTTTAGAGGTGATATTTTGATTGTAAGTTCGTGCCTCCTAACTTTAATTGCCATTATGAAAAATTAATTAGAAATTCATGGCCTGTTTGGAACCTGTAGGTCAAGTGCCGTATCCATGAGAGGCTCTCATTGATCCAGGTTAATCCAATCCAAGCCCACACTTCCCTCTATTCCTAAGTTAAGCTCTTAGTCACTTTCCCTCCAGATTTCCGGACACCGATTATAAACGCTGAGTTCTCTGTATTAAATTTGCCTTAGTTCGGAAGAATCTCGTACAGCAGTCGAGATGTGCATTATCACAAAGAGTCCTATCTGTTTTGAGTCTTATGTGTGACTCACTATCAGGCTATTAGAGCATACTTGGCCACAGACACTACACGTCACGTCATACACCTGTGCTGTATACTCGTATAACAGCTGTTGTTGTTAAATTGTGAAATTCTTCAAAATGCTTTGACATAAGAATTTCATCCTACAGTACTTAATGGGCAAAATTTCACAAATTTCTGCAATTTCGTTGCATTTTTTTCTATACCAAGTTATAAATTCCATGTTTACGCCTGTTTAAGGATGCAGATCTTTTCTTTCTCTTGTCGATCCCTCTTAGCATCACACAAAAGGATGAAATTTGTAATGTTATTGTTTTCCATTAGTTTTGTCCCTGGTTCATTTTTATCAATGTGTAACACACACTTCAGTTTTAGCGGTAGTAGCAGTGGTCTAGTAGTAACGATCGAGACTTGTATTCGCTAGGTTCTCGGCTCGAATCTCGGAGAGGACTGCAGCTATCCAGACTGAAGTTTCTAGTGGTTCTTCCAAGTCCCTCAAGCCAAGTAACTTAATTAGGCCAAGACCTCTGCCTTTCAAATTATTTCCAATGAATCAATCATCCCATCACTTGACTCTATATGTAGCCTCGATACTGAAACGTTGTTTTAAAAACTACGGAAAAACCTACGATTCAGCGCTCGTGGTAGTTGTTTACCATTATTTATCTTATGAACCCGGTGCCTCCGAGTGTGTGCTAGATCAAAGCACTAAAAGCGATATATTCCCTTCAAATATTCCAACAAAAATTCCGTTTGAATTCTCCCTTGCCTGCTACATAAAAGAAAAGAAACTCCGTGGCCTGTAGTCGGGAAGCGAACTATACCGACCGGGCGACCGCCGCTTGTCAGCTAAGTTAGTGACAACTTTAGCGGATAGACTGTGTTGCGTGGTCAGCGCAACGAATCCCCACGGCCGTTAATCTCGGTTTTCTAGACCGTGCCTGCTACATGCCCCACCCTATTATCACCTTTCATTGATGAGTGTAAATTACGAAAGTTCTTATTAAGTATTTTTCAACACCCTTCTCACTAATTCAATTTTATGTTTAGATATTCTATTCAGATCAAAGAAACAGCAAATTTATTATGGCTTCTATTCAGTGTGCAGTAGTATCGTCGAAACAAAATTTAACCATCATCTTTAATGCGTAGATGAACGGTTAGCTAGGGCGCGTACGTCAGCAGATGTTTCGGCAATGACATTTATACGACTTTGTGGGGAGAAGTGATGGACACACTACATGACAGGGTCGGAAGGGTGGGGCCCGGCGACACCTGGGACCACTACGCTAATCAACGGGCCGCATGTCAATTGTCCACACATGTCAATATAAAAGATGAATTCGCTCACAGTTCATAGCGCTCCATCAGATGTTCTTATTATCTTACTGGGCAACCAATTGTATCATAATTTGGATTGATGTATTTAGTAGAACAAGAGAACTAGATCCTAACCAAACGACAGAGTAAAGAATTAATTTCTCGTGCAAGATGGTGTAGTGCGCATTTACCGATCTTGTTCAGTGTTTCATCTATAGACGTTAATACTGTTCGGTGTGACACGAAGCAGCACTCTTCTGCACTGAAGAAAATATCTGGGCCTTTAAGGGGAGGAAGTAACTGAGCAATTTGGGCCATTACGTTTTGAACAGTTTCGTGATTTCTGCTAATTAAACTTACTCCACGGAACTGACCCCTTCTTCAGAGGCTACCACTTTCGCAGTTACTCAAGAATTTAACATTTTTCGACCCCGAAGGTTAATTACCGTGATAAAAGAGCCCTCTACCGGCCCCTATCCTGAACCAGATAATTCCAGTCGATACCACCCCATCCTATCTCTCTAAGATCTACTTTAATAATATACAATTCTTTATTAGAGTCTGTCGCAACACAACAATACTTGTACAAGGGTCAAGGCTAAAATTAGCTTAGCTACATATTTCCGCTATTAAAACTATCATCAGGCAAACAAATGATTACCATGTAAGATTTGAGGTTTTCACGGCGATGACTATGAAGAAAGTCGTCTTCTGGGATCTGGCGCCGTGTATTCTTGGTTGTAACCGACGTTTCGGAGGAATATATCGCCTCCATCTTCAGGGCAGGTGAATTGCCTTGCGAATACAGAGAGCAGTAGCTGTAATGATTAGGAAGTGTAAAGCGCTACTTTATATAGGAAGTAGGCAGGGGGGTGGTTAGGGAGAGGGGACCAATGGTAAGAGTGAACAGCGATTAAGGCCATATATGGTCAGGGGGGCGAAAGGGGGGATACCGGCCAGTGAATCCAGACAACTTGGAGGTCAATGGCACGGAGGTTGCGGTTAGACAAGAAGAACCGGTTGGCTGGGGACAGGCTATTGACGTCAATGATATCAAGAGAACTCCACAAAGTCACCCCAGCTCTTCATGTCATTGACGTCAGTAGCTTTTCCCCAGTTCATGTCATTGACGTCAGTAGCCTGTCCCCAGTTCATGTCATTGACGTCAGTAGCTTGTCCCCAGTTCATGTCATTGACGTCA